TGAAAGTCGCTGATATTATTTTTCATACATAATTTCTAAGTTTGAATAAAAATGGACGTATTTTAATTCATTTCACAAATATTCAAGATACAAACCAAGTTACAGTTACATATCGGCCACCCTGTATATATGAAGCCTCCATCAGACTATCTTGCTTTGTATAAAGCCAGTAGAATAACTATGAAGAACAAAAATCTGAGAGATTGGGCAATACACATCGATATCCGAACTCTCAGACAGGTCTCCTCTATGAAATATCTACAATACTTCTACCCATGCATTTCATCAATTATTTTAATATAAATATTGGAAGATCATAATATCACAATATCTGAAACAATAAAATACCAAATCTGCGGTATACACCTTTAAGAAGTAATGAGCATTATGAATAGTAGATATCAAAGTTCAGAAAGCAACCATTAATGTTACTATCACTGATATTATTCATATATGAGTTATGTTACTTCACTGACCGTATACCCATTGTACATTTTGAAAAATAAGCAGAAGTACAACACGATGACTGGTCCCAAAATTTGTATCTGCGTCGTACAAGTCGATCATTATGGAAATCATTGAAGTTGAACGTATAAATCATATGCGCAGTTTATTAAACCAATAATATGCAAACTTTAGCGAATATTTATACAGAGGTAAATACATGTATGTGGACGTTTGTTTCGTCACTGCTGAATGCGCGGATGGTTGGTATGCTGAGCATGTACAAATGAGACGCATGAGACTTGCATTTCAATCAAATACATAATGTCAAACAAACAGGAACTAAATGTTTATGGATAAACTTCCGTAAAAGTACGATCCAATTATTTGGCGACCTGATTGCCACTTGCTATAAGTTAAGTACTATATTTCTGATAGAATGGCGTCATATATTGTACAATCTTTTAGTTTCACCTGCCTGTATGTGTGTAATGGAATCTTGCAAGTTAAATTTGGCCCACTTCCCAAGGTCCGATTGTGCTGAAATTTGGTACAAGCATTCGGTTCACGTAACAATGCACTATTACGAAAAGTCGGCTTTTGATCCAGCATGGCGGAATTCACAAAATCATTTCCACAATAACCTCTATGATATGGGTAAAAAGGCTTGATGAGCAAAACACAATAAGCAAAGAGACGTCACTGTAAATGAAATATGGCTGCCGCAGTAGAATGGCGATTAATAACAATAGGCGTAGGCAGTTTGTCTTATTGTTTATAATAATAAATTGTTCATTGCGTTTAGAATAAATCCCTTCACACTGGAAACATACAATTATAATTCCAACAAAGGATACTACATGAGAGCTTGAAGATTTGAGACCTATTAGTATACTTTGCCACCTATCTAGAATTTTATAAAAAGCCGTACATTTTCAGCTAAAAGCTTATTTACAAAAATATTTTTTTACTTGGAAGCAATCTGCAGTGTTGACAGACAGCGTAGACTTGGACGCGATGAATGAATCACACGTCACAATCTTTTGCTGGCTAAGTTGTGCTACTATGGGATCTGTTCAACAGGAACCATTTTGGCAGGTCCCAGCAGGTTAAAGTTACTCTAACTCTTATAAAGTGCGCAGCGGAGAACCGCAAGGCCTTATTTTAGGCCCTTTATTATTTGTTATATATATACTGACGACCTTCATTTGAGGATCAAGTCAAATCTTCATATTCTTTTGAGACTCTCTCAAGAACTGACTGCACTTCTTTATAATAAAATATTAATCAAAATAGAAATTAAACAAACCTATTACATGCTAATAAAAAATAACTAAAAGATTCAAAATAATTATATTCCGATTGAGGATAAGCCGTTTTATATTTCTTAACCTATCCTTATCGTCTTAGTTGTTATTTTATTGACGGATAATAAAAGATTGCCTTAAGTTTTTTCTTTTATTAATTTACTCTAATATCGAAGTGAAACATATCAAATAAATTTATACGCATGGATATTCTATATAAAAACCACTACAAGCCTTATAACCGAAACTCTTATATAAGGATCACAAAAATGGTATTATTTTTTGTGTTTGAAAAGGACTTGGTCAATTTGGCTCAAGGTCAAATTGCGTTCAACAGAATTATATCATTGCTGTTGGTCAGCAATTACCAGAAAAATGTGCCTAACATTGGAGCAGCTGCAGGTTGTGTAGAAACATTATTGCCGTGGTCCATTGCACATGGCATAATATGTTAAAAGAAAAATAAAAACTCTTTTGAGGTTGATTTCATATAAACATTGTCGGTTTAGAGCTATTTTTGATCAACCAGATCTAAAATGTTATTATAGCTAGGAATACAGAGATAACCTACGTGCAAGGTGAAAATGCGCTGCAAATTGACCTGAATATACTTGTGATGCTACAAGTTCGTCATCAAATCCAATTTATAAACAAATTTCTCGGTTTCCATTTGCTGGAGGCAAGGTCGTATTCGATGTTGCAGATCTTTCTGGAACCTACATATACTCAGTGACAAAAGTATTAGAGCCAGAAAATAATTTCTTCAACTTCTTTTTTTGGCAACATAACGACTATATTTAAAGCAAGCTGTGGCAACAACGTGTTATCTTAGTTTTTGTTTATCTTTGTTAAAATCGTATCTCTTAGTTTTTGTGACGAAACCAGTTTCTCAGAGCTGAGTAGTACACATATATTTAGTTATTGCCCTTTCATTTACTGATATTAAGCATAAAATGCCTCGAGTTCGATGACGTTCAGATTACCAACATAAGCAAAAATATTCGTCATTCCTTTGACGAAGTATTTTAAGACCGAACGAGATCATGGCGCTACATTATTGCATTATTGCCTTTACAGTCCATAAGAGAGGCATTAGGTATCTAGTAAATAGAATTTATACTAGCTCTAGCGTGTACAAAACACACGCTCCGTAATGTAAGGTATCGAAGACATAAACCGGATTTCGTAGAACGTCGTAGGTTCTAGTAGTTTTAATTAATGTGGCAACCATGTGCGTCACTGTCATGATTTGACCTTGTGACGTAACTGATTTGATTCAGTGAATAAGCTATACATAGACAAAACATAAGAGTCGCAAACACACTTACATGATTACAGTCAGAGGATCGAATAAAATTAAACAAAATCAATGGCTAGTATCGAATTATTGACTCTTGGTTTTAAGAGTGGGAGAAATCCTGTTGTATAAATAAGAAGGTGGAAGGGGAAAAGTAGGAAGCAGGAAAGAAGTGTCCGTTTGCCATTTTTGTTACTAAGGAAGTAAAAACTAGGTGTCTGTTTTAAATATACTCAGCGACATTAGAAGTGTTAGACCCAGAAAAAAATATTTTTTCACCTTGTTCTTTTGGCAACATAATGACTATATTTCAAGCATGCTGTGGCAACAGTGTTAGCGTTTTACCTTAGTTTTTGTTTATCTTTGTTAAAATCTTATCTCTTAGTTTTTTGGAAGAAAACACTTTCTCAGAGCTTAGTAGTACAGATATATTTAGTTACTGTCCTTTCATTTACTTGTATTAATCATAAAATGTCTCGAGTTCGATGACGTTCAGATTATCAACATGATAGCGACTTTGACATGGGTAGAACTATTGCCTATCGAGATGATGCTTTGTCCTATCGCGAAATTGGTCGCAGTGTTAATTGTGCTGCAATAACGGTAATGCGTGTGTGTCGTGTGTGGATAGAAGAAAATAGAGAAACATGAGCCTTTGGACTGTTTTCATACCGTGGTAAGTGCTTCCTCTGACTGCGGACCACTGTCGTCAACGTGGAAATGCAGCAGAGAAGGGAAACGTTATGGGGCAGAATGGCTTATTGTCATCTTCAGCGTCGAATCGCGATTCTGTCTAGGAACGCACGATGGTCGTAGAAGGGTAAGATGCCTCCGTGAAGAACGGCGTGATATTGGGTTTGCTGTTGGGAGGCATGTGCACAGGACTGTTGGAGTAATGGTTTAGGGGGCTATTGCCTATGGTAGCCGATCACCTCTTCTATTTGTTCAAGGACATATAACTTCTGCGCGTTATGTTGATGGTGTGCGACGATACAAACCAGATTGCTGCCGTATGTAGAGGGCCGTCCACACGTCCTTTTACAGCAAGACAACGCACGTCCCCATATTGCTCGTCGCACTACGGACTTTCTTGAAGAAGCAGGTTTTAATGTTTTGCCGTGGTCACCCCGTTCACCGAATTTAAATCCCATCGAACATTTGTGGGATTTGATGGAGAGGAGACTATCCACTTTGCACCATCCGATAAGTTCGAGTTGCTGGGAATGAGGTGCCACAACCACACATCTATCATCTCATTTTGTCGATGACTACACGTATACAGGAGTGTATTCAGCTGCGCCCAACATATTATTGATTTTTTTTTCTTATTCCTTGTCAATAAAATTTCCTGAGAATATTATTGTTTCATTCTTAATGTAAGACTACCTCATTCCAGAAAAATCAAGTTGAAGAAAGTATTTTTCTAGGTGTAATACATCGAGTATATTTCGGTTATCCACTTTGGTGTATGTACTGATAGGAAAGTTACAACTTCAAGAATATCGTGTATATAACAAATGAATAATAAAAGTAGATAATAGGTCACACCTATATTGCATACTGAAGTCCCTTAAAGACGTTTTGACGATGATAATTGAGGTGTTTTGGCTATTTGTCAATTTAGTGCAAATATAACATGACGCTTTTCTAGTAAAAAAAACTAAGCAGTATCATAACAAATAAAATATCACCCAGAACCTAGCTAGCTTCATATCCATGCCAAGACTCATCCAGGTCCCATATGTCGGAGTGACAGTTAAAAACAAAGCAAGATGTATCACATTTATATATTTCGATTTGTAAAACTTATAACGTATATTGTTCGTACAAATGAATCGTCTAGTAATGTACTCGTAAACTAAAAGGTCGAAGGATGCTACTTAGCAGAGGAACATTTCAGTTTAACACACCATTATAGTGACGACAATTTATAAGTAAGAGATTCATCATACCCAAATGTTTGACGGACTCTTCCTCTATATCAGCGTCAATATCAATATCAGTCTTGGAGTCGCCATATCCAGGGTTTGTAGGTCTGGGTGACACATTTTCCTCGGACTTGGTGCCACCAATCAACTTATGCACGATTCCAGAGTAATCCGTGATAAGCACAAGCACCAAACACAAGATAAACACCAACCTGACCAACATCTTTCCAGTTGAGGACATTTTGTCTGTGACTAAGGCATTTTGCGACTGTTTGTGACTGGGTGGCAGTCATCTTTTGCTTACCTTGTGATTTCCGAGCCCCTCCCCGCAATATTGCCGCGCTAGCCAGTCAAGGCGGCTTGCTTACCAAGAGCAGATAGTGAAAGTAAAACCAAAAACGAGCTCACGTAACAATATTATTGTGGACGCACGCATCTATTAGTACGGGAAATAGTTCGATGTGGATGCCTTACTTTGCATGCAAGCTTATTATGACGTATTAAATCATCCTCTGCCGATTTCTAAATTGCTGTTAAGTAATGAATTATGTTATGCTCGCAAAAATCTTCGCAGGCGACCGACGCTCTAACAGAGTGGTCGCCAACCTTTTCAGGGTGTTGAGCTACTTGACAATTTTCCGAAAAACAGTGAGCTACCTAGTCGTAAGTAACGTAAGCCAACTTAAACGAAATTATACACAGTTGTATGCGACATACATGTGTTTATTTTAATTATACTAATACATACTAATAAACTTAAATAATATCCATTCCTACCAATCGTAGGTGTTTGAAAAATAAACAACATTTTTCGTCAGCTAAAATGGCATATGACATACGATTTAATGAAGGTAACTAAAAATAAAAAAAGCAACGCACTATTTTAAACAAAAACATGTCCAGATAAAAAATGCGTGTTTAAGCCTGACACTCGGACTCGCTGACAATTTTTCTAATGTTTGGAGTATAATTTGATGCCATCATTCGAATACAATTATCCAAATGTTCATCTGTAAGCCGATTACGGTATTTCTTTTTAATAAACTACATATTTGAAAAAGAAGATTCACACAAATAGGTTGAACTAACTGATGCTTTCACTTTCAAGGCAACACGACATAAAACTGAATATTTATCTTTGCTTACTGAAGGCTAGATACATTTTGTATTTGAGACTAATCATTTTGAAACGCAATCACTTCCATTTCTGTCGCAGCGATGTCTTCGCTAAAATTCTGCGTAACAGAAGTTGCAAACTGTTGGATATCGATTTCCATGAAGGGTGAACAACAAATTGCGCAACTATAGCAATTTTGTTGAAATCCTTGAAACGATTTTTGAAGTTATCCTTCAAGTTAGAGACTATTTCTACATGATATTTACTGTAATATGGTTCTAATGGACTTTGAGATGTATTTTCTGAAAGAACAGGAAAATGCCTGGTATCGCCATCGATTAAGTTTTGTCCCTAAAACTCAAGCTTTTTGATAAGGAAATATCGAAATAGAAGTCCTCAAGATAATACATTTTCTGTTAAAGAGGACGTTCATCATCCTGCACTGAACATGGAGTTCATTACATCCGGATCTCCAACGAAATTCCCATTTGCTAATTCTCCACGGTCTAACTTTCGCAAAGCTAACTTTCCTGAAATGTACACAGCCTTGCAAGATGTTAATTGGACGGAGGTGATCAGTGCAGTTAATGTTGATGTCTCTTGTACCGCCTTGTATTCAGTTATCAATAACATCTTTGAGGTCCATGTCCCTAAATGTAAAAATAAAATGTTTTCGTATCCCCCATGGTTCACACGTGAAATTATACTTAATATCAAGAAAAAGGACATAGCAAGAAGGAACTGGAAACGTGACGGTTTTCTTATGATCAGTTCAGTAATTTTAGGAAGCTCATTAAGAACCAGATCAGTGTTGCCTACTCCGCTTACGTCCAATCGGTTGGGGATTCCATTGTCAATGATCCTAGCAAATTCTGGTCATTTGCCCAGATCAAAAAACAGCAATCTAGAATCCCCCAAGGATGATGCTTAACGGCAATGTCTGCGATACGCCTCAGGATATAGTGGACAGTTTTGCTACCTTCTTTTCAACAGTTTTTATCCCGTCTGGTCTACTAGGGTCATCTCCTCCAACAAATAATTCTACCGATATCATTTCTTTAAAAATATAAGTGAAGAAAACGTAATTAGGGCTTCGAAAAGATTAAAGAACAAAATGACGTCTGGATGTGATGGTATTCCAAGTTTTTTCGTTAAAGATTGCATTCATATACTAGCGAAACCGCTGGCTCCCATATTCAACCTAATTATAAAATCAGAGACATATCCAAATATCTGGAAGACCTCTAAAATATGTCCTATTCACAAAAGTGGAGATATCTCTGATATTTCCAACTATCGCCAAATAGCAATCCTGTACAATTTCAGCAAGATGTTTGAGATCATCGCTTATGAAACGGTTTACTGCTCGGTCAGGGGTGCAGTCTCTATTAATCAGCATGGGTTTATGAGAGGCAGATCTACGGTCACCAACTTGGCTCTGATTACTCAGTACATTTCTGAAGTACTGGACGGTCAGGGACAAGTTGATGTCATCTACACAGATATTCAGAAGGCGTTTGATCAAGTTGATCATTATGCACTTCTGGATAAGCTTAAAACATTGGGCATGTCTGATGCAATGCTGTCGCTCATGAATTCATATTTGAGGGATAGAAGGTTATTTGTCGAATATGGTGGTCATAGGTCGAGTTACTATCGGGCCACATCTGGGTTACCTCAAGGGTCAAATCTAGGTCCATTATTGTTTTTAATATTTATTAATGACTTTTGAACTGAAGTGTTTCCATTTGTTTTTCGCTGATGACCTTAAAATCTGCACGTCAGTCAAGACAGTCGAGGATTGCGTCATGTTGCAAGATGACTTAGCTCTAATTTCGTCATGGTGTTCACGAAACTGTCTCAGTCTGAATGTTTCGAAATGTAAAGTTATGACTTATACAAGAAAAGTTAACTATTTAATTTATGATAATTATAACATCAATGGTCAGGTTATAGACAGATGCACCTCTTATAGAGACCTTGGAGTCATTTTTGATACCAAGCTAACGTTTACTGAGCATATACTCAATATCTCGTCGGCTGCCACTCGACTACTTGGTTTCTGTATCAGAAACTAGAAGGGTTTCTCCAATGTTGATACATTAATAACTTTATTTTTTACTTTTGTCAGGAGCAAGTTGGAGTATGCGACTCTGATCTGGTCTCCTATATACCAAAATTCTGTCATGATCCAGGAGGCCATTCAACGTAAAGCTTTAAAGTATTTTCACCTTAAATGCACAGGTTCTTATCCAGAAAGAGGCTGTGACCATAGTGCCCTATTAGAGTTTTTGGATTCACTGTCAACAAGACGAAACAGATTTGCTTTGTCGTTTTTGTATCGCCTCATTCACATTAAAATTGACTGTCAAAATTTACTTGAAAAAATATGTTTCCGCGTTCCAAGGCTAGGGAGTCGACAACAAACGGCATTCTATTGTCAAGCTGGCCGTACAAATGTTATAACAAAATCGCCAATTAATCTCATGTGCTGCGTCATGAACAGTGTTACTGAATCGTGTGATATTTACAGTGACAATTGTGCATCGATTATTAACTGCTATAGATCACCCAATCTTATTTAGAATGTGTGATACTATAGATTTAAGTCCAAGAACCACGTCTCTTTAATTGTTATTCTTTTCAGCGTTTCCTGTAATTGGGTTTCACCTGTTGGAAATAAATAAATAAATAAATAATAAACCCTCTTATATCAGAAACCATTTCTGCTAGTTCTTTGTCTCTTCCCTGAAGCTGCAAATTAAGTTCATTTAATTTCTCAGTAATATCCACAAGAAAACCAAACTCTCTAAGCCAGATTGAATTTTCCAGTTCCGAAATAGATTCATCACGTTGCTTGAAAAACTGAACTATGGCAGATATATCATTAAAACGTCTCAGCACTCGTCCCCTACTTAACCATCGGACTTCAGAGTGAGTGAAGAAGTAGTTCCCCGTATTGACAGTCAATTTCATCGGCCAAGGTTTTGAATAAATAAAAATAAGCTCTATTCCTGTCCACAATTTCTACTACCAATTTCATATTATTGCATAGTTTTATAAAATGTCCACATAATGCTTTCTGATGGATAATGCAGTGGTAACAGAGAAACTGCGGAAAACTTTCATCTTTACGATATAGCCCCACGAGACCGTTATCACGACCCACCAAAGCTAGAGCGCCAAGCCTACCATTTTCGAAATTGGAATTTTCTCACAAGAAATAATATTTTTAAAAGAAGAAAACAAGTTCTGCCCAGTAGGCTGTCCTTTTAGTGGAATAAACTTCAAAAGATCTTTAATCGTAAGATTACTAAAAACCATCCTGACGAATACGGCCATCTAAGAGGTGCCAACGACATCTGTGGATTCATCCAGCTGCAGTAAAAAATAAGCACAGTTATCGAAGTCATTCATTAACTATAAAACTATATCATTGCTCATTACTTCTACTCGTCTCATCACTGTATTAGCAGGAAGTTGCAAACTTTAAGACTCGGACAGAATTGAAAGCTTGATCCTGTCATCTTTGCAACATTCTCTGATTTTATTCTATTCTTATTTGGATTCGTCGGATCGGTGTAGGTTACAAAAAATTCAAAATAGCTGCTGCGGGTTTGTGTTTGGACTTCGTAAATATAGTCATGTTTTTTCGAAGATTGAAGATTTAAATTGGTTATGATGGAATCGCAGTTTGTTTATGCTATGAGGTGAGATGTTTGTCCATAAAGTAGTTCGCACAAAAAAGCTACCGTAAATTTTAGAAACGCTAGTACCAAGAGGTAACATCAATCAGAGAAATCTCAGACACAACCTAAATTTTGCGATGCCAGTCCAGAAAAGCTTCACATTTCATGCTGTCAAGTTATACAACTCTACAGATAAAATGTGTCGCAGTAAAACAATAGTACCTTTCAGGAGACTCGTTAAGAAACAGCTGATAGGATACTCGTATTAATAGTTCAAGTGCCCACTTGTTAAATTTTTTTTTTCTGTTTCATATCACTCTGATGGCTCGTGTGCGCATGTTGTCAACACGTTATCTATTTAATTCATTTACTTGCATTTCTTTTTCTTCTTATTATTAATATTGTTTGTGTATCGAGTTTAACTCTGTTACTCTTTCGCACACAGTGAGGTTAAGTCTAAGAGTAGCCATTTGGCTAAACTTCGCCACACTGATGTATGTGTATTAATAAAGACATTTATTATTATTATTATTATTATTATTATTTACTGCTATAAGA